TGGGCTCCTGCTGCTGCTGCTGCTGCCGCCGCTCCTGCCGCTGCCGCAGGTGGGTGGGGCCGCGCGCTCGGTTCGGGCCCCGCGGCGGGTCTGCGCTCGGGCTACGCCCCGCCCCGGCTCACCCCTGTCCCCACAGGTGGCGCTGAGCTTCTCAGACGGCAGCTGCGACCCCTCGGACCAGTAAGTCGGCGGGGGGAGGGAGCCGGGGCCTGGCCCGCCCTGTGGGGAGGCTCGGGCGGTGAGGTCGGCCCGGCCGGTGCCCCACCTGCTCCAGGTGCCGCCGTCCCCGCAGGTGCCCGCCCCAGGCCCGCTGGAGCAGCCTGTGGCACGTGGGGTAAGTGGAGGCCGCGGCGCGGAGGCGCCGGTCCAACGGCTCACCCGGGGGAAGCCACTGGGGCAGGCCCACCAGACCCCACACCCACCGGGCCGCCGCCGCTGTTCCCCCATCCCTGGCCGCTGGAGGGAAGGCGCTGGAGCCCCGGCCGGCCGGAGGCCTTGGAGCAAGGCTTCAGCGGACCAGCCTGACTTCCCTTCACAGCCTGGTGGCACACCTCCCAACACCTCCTTCCTTGCCTCTGCGGGAGGCCCTTGGGATCATGGTCAGCAGTCTGTGCTCAAGGACTGTGCAGTCGGCTGGGGACAGTGTGTCCTGGGAGTGAACCCAAGGCCACCCCAGCCAGCCCTGGAGAGTCAGCCAAGGCAGGCCCAGCAGCAGGAGGCCAAAGCTGGCCAGCTCTTCAGTACACACTCTGGCCAGGGAGGTCTCTGGAATGGAGAGACATTATCTGCCTTTTGGTTTTTGTTTAATCCTGTCTGTTGTCCTGTCTTGGGTGGTTGGGCCATGACTGTCCCCAGGGTGCAGATGCCCAGTGGCCAAGGGTCAGTACAGCACTAGGGCCTTGCTCCTCCCTATCCAGGCTCGTCCTGCTCGCTGTCCTCCTGCTGCTCCTGTGTGGGGTCACGGCCAGCTGTGTCCGATTCTGCTGCCTCCAGAAGCAGGCACATGCCCAGCCACATCTGCCACCATCACGGCAGGCCCGAGACCTGACAGTCATCCCTGTGGACAGCGACAGCCCTGTGCATAGCACTGTAACCTGTGAGTGCCTGGTGGCCCACCACCAGGGGGTGGCGGAGAGGCTGCGTGGGGTGAATACCAAGCCCACTGCTACAACCCACTCTGGTTTCCTGCAGCCTACAGCTCTGTGCAGTACCCACTGGGCATATCGCTGCCCCTGCCCTTTGGGGAGCTGGACACCGACTTCATGGCCCCTCCCGCCTACAGCCTGCGTGCCCTTGAGCTGCCACCCTCCTATGATGAGGCTGTCAAGATGGCCAAACCCAGAGAGGAGGAGCCAGCACCCTCCCAGAAGCCCAGCCCTCTGCCTCAGGCCTTAGGTCTAGAGAACACTCCAGGGCCCCAGGAGCCACGCCCCAATGACCAACACCCCGACTGTAGCCCTGGTGCCCCTTGAAAGGGCAGGAGAACTCTCCTGGAGCCATCAGGCCAGAGCTTGGATAGTGGTGCTTGGGTCCAAGGACCCCCAGCCCACCCCACCATCCTTTCCCTGGGAAGGCCAGCCTCCAGCACATTGCTGCAGCCCCGGCCTCATTGCTAGGCAACGTGGGCCAGCAGAGCCAGCCTTGTGTTGACCACCCTCCCAGGCAGGCTGCTGCTTTCGGCCCTGGCCCCTAACCCAGACCCACAGGCCCTCAGCGTGGAGGAGGCCCCACGGACCCAAGCCACGAGACCTCAGGGACCGTGATGTCTGCAGCTTTTTGGAGAGAATAAAGTTTGTATCTAAGTGGTCTTTGCATATACAGGTAGGTTTCTGGGGCTCCGACAGCGGCTCTCAGGCAGCCACCCCTTAGTGCAGGTAAGGAGGGTGACATGTGGTCCCTGACCTGTGCCCACTCTGGCTTTCAGGCTGATGTCAGGAGCCCAGAGCTGGGCAGTGGGTGGTGTCAGGTGTCAGCGGAAGTGACCAGGGAGTGTACTGGTGGCTGGTCCGGGAAAACCCTTCCCCTTCTCCTGACTAACATCTTTGCCCCCCTTCCCCTCCAGGCTGGGGACAGGGAGGCACATAGCGGTCAACTGGAGCATTTATTTGACACAGAGCCTGGTAGCGTGGGGTAGGGCGGCGAGGGGAGGGGAGGGCAGCGGGATGGGCAGCGGCCTTCCCTGGGCAGGCTTCCCGCAGCCACAGCAGCTGCTCCTACTGGGCCAACTTGAAGGGCTCTCTGGTCATTGTGGTCACGAACTCCGGGGGCAGAGGGGCCGGTGAGCAGCCTGCCTAGGGCGCGGCTCGTCAGCCCCCGGCCCGCCCCGCCCACCCCTGGCGGTCGGTGCTCTCGTCCGCGTCCTTGGTCTCCTTCATCATCCGCTCGGCCTCGCCTCGTTGAGGGCTCCCCTGCGTTCATGAGCGCACACCTGCCGGGCCCTCACACTGAGCCGCTCGGGCCACTCCGCCTGTCCCCGCGCCCGCCCTCGTGCCCGACTTGCGTGTGTTCCAGTCAATGTAGCCCTCGCCCTCCCTGTCGAAGACACAGGAAGCTGCCCTGAGCTCGGCCTCCTGGTTCTTGGGCTTCTCGCTGTAAATGCCCATCAGCACCAGGAAGCCGTCACAGCTGAAGAATCCTCTGTGTGCAAGGAGCTGGCCACCCCCTGCGGGCCCCTCTCTTGCCCACTCACCCACGCAGGTGACCCCTCCAGCCGCCTGCCGCCGCCCAGCTCACTGTCTCTGTCTGCGTCTCTGGCCGTCGAGGCCGGCTCACTCTTGGTGGGGTTGACGCCCAGCAGGCTCACGAGCTGCCCCAGCTCGCCAGTCTTCACCTCCCCGTGGCCCTCATCGAACATCTCTAAGACCCCTTTGTGCTCTTTGATCTGCCCACCGACGGGCGCTCTGCCCGCAGGGACATCACACCCAGCCTCACCAGGGGCTCCCTTTGTCTCTGTGACTAGAAGAGGGTTGGAGGTCCCCCCGCCCTGTTTATCCACTTTGCAACCTTCAGGGTATGTGGTTAAAAAAGGAGGCCCCCAGCCCAGAGCAGGTGGGATCCTGGTGTGGGGGAACAGGTGAGGTGGGCCAGGTGCACAGGAGCCTGGGCACAGGCCAGCTGTGGGGGGAGCAGTAGGGTCTGCAGGGAACAAAGCCCTAGGGCCAAGGCCATGGACACCAGGTGACACCAGGTGAAGGACAACAGGGACCGGTGTGGGAGGACCCCGACCCAGGCCGGGGTGAAGGCTCCCAAGGAAAGGCCCCCAGAGCTTGAGAGACTGCCTGGGAAGCATAATCCAGGCCCCAGCCTGTTGTGACATTCCAGGGGGACAGTGCAGCACCTGGCCACCACTCCTGCCACCATCAGAGCAGCAAGTCTGCGGGCCAGCTTTCACAAGGGACTGCTCCACCCTGACCCAGAACAAGGGCAATGTTGGTGGTGGAGGGGCTCGGCTTTGGTCCCTCCCTCGGCCCCCTCCTGCCTAAGCTCACTGAAGTCCTTCCCCAGGTTCCCAGAGAGGCCCCCACACTTCCAGGCATTGGCTCAAGCCACTCCCTTTGCCTGGAGACCCTGTCTTGGCTGGGCACTGATGCCAGCTGTGGCTGGACCTGCCCAGCAGACCCACCAGCGGCTCCGCCAGCGCTGGGAGCAGCCTTACCATGACTGTGGCTGGCAGCACTGGGCTGTTGCGGGCAGAGCACACAGGCAGCGGTGGCAGCCGCATCTTAGCTGGGCCCAGCTGCCTGGGGGTCCCGGGGTCCAGATTCCAAGACCTTTTAAGGGTGGGAGGTCCTGACGGCCCTATTTTGGGGCAGGCTCGGCCCTTCCCTCAGGCCCCCTCCTGGCCTCCTGGCCCTGGGCATCCCCTGTCCCACAGGTGGGCACCGAGGGCTGAGCAAAGGCAGGAGGGGCTGGCCTGTGGCCGGGCCTCCCACTTGCTGTGCACCCGATGCCGACCCGAATCCGCCTCCCGGTGGCCGCCCCTCTGCTCCCCCGGGGCCTCGCCACTGCTGTCATCACTTGCCCATGGGACACCCGCTGGCACTCGATGGCCTGAGCCAGGCTGCCCTCCCACCTCAGCCTCACAAACACTAACACTGTCAGGTTGAGTGGACAAAAGCACCAGGGGCGCCCCTGGCCACCCCACACGGAAGGGGCTGCAGATCCTTGTTTCAGGGAGGGGACAGCTGGACGTGGGCTGGGGGTGGGGGGCAGGGCAGACGGGAGCCACTGGGAGGCCAGGCCAGGTTTCCTCCGGGCACTTGGGGGCTATTTTGGGGTTTCTCAGGGAAACCTGGCCTCTTTCCACCCGGAACAGCAAAGGCGGCTCCCGAGGGAAACAAGTGCCCAGGCTGGTCAGTCACCAGGTGCCACCATGGCACGCAGACCCTCCGTGCACAAGTATTCACTCCCCAGACATGTGCCAACTTGCCTCTGTCCGGGTCTAACTAAGCACTGGGTCCTCCGCGCCCCCGCGCCTGGCTGCTCGCTGGGAGGTTTGCAGTTGCAGGTCCCAGCCCTCACTGGCTGAGAGGCTCCCCCCAGTCCCTCCAGCTCCCTGCCAGGGACAGTCACAGACAGGCCCCCCACCTGGTTCCCCTCACTCCTATGCATGGCCCTTGGAGCTGGCCCCTGCCCCCAACAGCCCTGACTGCTTGATGAGGCTGAGCAGCTGGGGCACTTTGTGCCCGGCCAGCCCAGACCGCCACCAGGATATCCCAAGCCACAGGAAGTGTCCCGCTGAGGCCCAAGCCAGCTGCTGAGGCTGCAAGATTTGTGCTGAAGGGGGAAGGATGGCTCCAGTGGGCCCAGGGGGCACCTCCAGCCTGAGCATCTCTTGACTGAGCTCAGGGCAGGGGCTGGAGGAGAAGCTGGCTCTGGGTTTGGTGGGGTGGAGAGTGGTACTGTACCTTTGTCCTGGCTGATCTTTAGCCTTGGTTTGCCCCCCAGCTGGGGCAGGGAACTCCCCCAAGGGCACAGGATAGGGGGAGTCACAGCACCAAGACCAGAGCCCACCCACCCTGGGTTTCTGGCTCAGGGATCCCCAGGCGGAGACCAGCTGGATCACAGAAACACAGGGGACTGCATTGACCTAGCGGGCCTGTGTGGGCCTGGACATCCCACTGCCAACATCTCACACCTGCCTGTTGCTCACAGCCGGGGATGGCAGGCTGTGCTTCCTGCGTTCCCACACCTCTATCTTCTGACATTCCCGGGTTGCAGCACCAAAGGTTTCAGACATCCTGATAGCCTCACAATTTAAACTCAAAGCTGTGATTCCTGGAGCCCAAGTCAGAGCAGAGGCAGCACCAGCCACCTGTTCCCCTGGCCCTGACACTCTGAAGATGGGGAAGGCAACACGTGGCCACAATGACGACCCCATGCCCTGGGCCCCGGTACAGGCAGATGCCCCCTGCACGCATCCTCTATCCCTTTCCTGGTGCAGACCAGCTTCTACGTGGCCTTCAGACATTCTGTGTACTCCCCAGGGCCTGTGAGTAGGAAAACCTTTATTTTCCATCTTGTGTCTCTTTTATTTTTGGCGCTGGCCAGTCTGATGGTCCAAACCCTTGACCTTGGTGTTACAACACTATGTTCTCACGAGCTGAGCCAACTGCCAGCCCCACCTCAAGCCTCTTCTGGTCACTGAAGGGGTATTCTCCATAAGATAAAAGAAATCAGAAAAACCCTAGAATGATTAGAAGCCCATCTTAATCATTTTTCAGTGCACAGTGCAGGAGTGTTCACTGTATGCACCTTGTGCAGCAGATCCTGTAACTTCTTCAACTTGCAAACCTGAAACTCTGTACCCAGGGAACGCAACTCCTTGTGGCCCCGTCCCCAGTCCCTGTCAACCCCCATTCTACCTTCTGTCTCTAAGAGTCTGGCTACCTCAGGTACCGCGTGTAAGTGGAATCGTGCGGCATTTGTCTCTCTGTGACTGGTGTATTTCACTTAGCACTCATCGTCCGTGTTGTGGCGTATGACAGAATTTCCTTCTGTTCGGAGCTGGACGATATTCCATTGTGCGTATATGCCATATCTTCTTTACCCATGCATCTGTCGGTGGACGTTTAGGTTGCTGCTACCTCTTGGCTTTTGTGGATAACGCTGCAATAAACATGGGTGCACATGAAGTAATTTTTCAGATGAGATTAACATTTAAATCAGTAGACTTTGAGAAAAGCAGACCGCCTCCATAATGTAGGTGGCCCAATCAACAGAACGTCAACTGTTGCTGGGCCTCCAGCTTGTTGAACTTGCAGCCCCGCCATCATGTAAACTAATTGTGTGTGGGGGGGGGGAGAGACATGTATGTATACAGTCGACCCTTGAACAATGTGAGGGTTAGGGATGCTGACTCCCACGCAGTCGAAAATTCTTATGTAACATTTGACTCCCTAAAAACTTGACTGCTAATAGCCTACTGTTAACCAGAAGCCTTGCTGGTAATATTAACACATATTTTGTATTTTACATGTATTATATACTGTATTCTTAAAATAAAGTAAGCCAGAGGGAAAAAATGTTATTAAGAGGGCCGGCCCATGGCTTACTTGGGAGAGTGCGGTGCTGACGACACCAAGTCAAGGGTTAAGATCTCCTTACCGGTCATCTTTAAAAAAAAAAAAAAGTTATTAAGAAAGTCATAAGGGGGCCGGCCCGGTGGCGCACTGCTGCAGTGCGCCGCTTGGGAAGCGCGGTGGTGCTCCCGCTGAGGGTTCGGATCCCACATACAGACCGGTTCCCGCTCACTGGCTGAGGGAGGCGCGGGAGCAACACCGAGGGTTGCGATCCCATTGCTGGTCCCGGTCTGGTACGGGCGTGACACTGAGGGTTGAGGTCCGTTGCCGGACACGGAAAAAGACAAAAAAAAAAAAAGAAAGTCATAAGGAAGAGAAAACACATTCACAGGACTGTACAGTATTTACTGAGAAAAACTGCACATGTGAGTTACCAGGCCTCGTGGCCAGCTTGACGTGGGCACAGCCAGGTTAAGCAGCTGCCCCCTCCCCCTGCCCTTTCCCTTTCCTGCTCTGGGAACTGAGCAGCGGATTCCTCTCCTGGGAAGGGGCAGACGTGACCATCATCATCAGAGGAACGTCGTGGGCTGCAGTAGCCAAGCTCCGGGCTGGAGCGCTTTGCACTGATGTGGTAGCGACACTAATGAGAAGCCTGTGCCCTAGCCACCCGGGTGTTAGCAGACCACAAGGGCTGTGTCACCTGCACATCACTGATTTTGAAATGGCCCATTACTCTGCCAGAACCCTCAAAGCCTTGTAAAGCCCTGCTTTCCGTGGTTCGGGGAACTGATCTGGCTCAGTCTCTTCTCTATGTTAGTGGAATAAGGCTTTTTGGCTGAAATGGCGCCTGCTCAGGTCTCTCTCTCCCTTCTCCATCTGGACGAACCTACCGTGAGTGGGCTCACGCAGCTCCAGGCCGCATTGTTCAAGTGTCAACTGGACACACATACACACATATGTGTGTGTGTTTATCTATACATATGCACGTGCCTGTTTCTCGGGTCACTGGAGGAACCCAGGAACTAGGAAGGCTCAGGCCCAGTGCGCTCCAGGCACCCGGCAGTCTGGGTATGGACCCCCAGGGCTGCCCGCCCCACTGCAGGGCACATGGTATGCTCTCTGGACGGGTCTGGACAGGGTCATGGGTGCCAGAGGAGGGCGGCTGAACTTGTAGAGTGAAAACCCTGGCAGGGTGAGCTGATAGGCGGCGTGTGCAGCAAGGAGACCCCAGTCCTTCCCATCCCCACCCCCTCAGGGCAGGAGACCCAGTGACCCCCTCCTGGAGAAGAGTGGAGACCCGCAGACATTGCCACTGCCCCTGGGGTCCCCAGTGAGAGGCACCCCCCCACACTCCAGGGTGGCCTCAGCTGCAGACCCGTCTCTCCTGGGGTTTCGGCAGGTGGAGACATAAAGATGCAGCCATTGTGGCCTCAGGCGGGACTCCGAAGACTCTGCTGGTCCCCCAGGCTAGGCCGAGGCTCCCTCTGCCCAATCCTGCTTCCCCTTCCTGTCACAGGGGCTGATCCCTAATGCACGGCTCCTATCCCAAACTCCATCCGGAGCTCAGCTTCTAAGGGGCCCAATCTGTGGCAAGGTTGGGTGCTAGGGATGGATCTCACGCTGCCCAGCTGTGACAAGGCACCACCACTGGGGGCCAGGGGGATTGGAGACACATGTCCCTGCATGGTCACCTGTTGCAACTGTCACTGGTGGTGAGTTGGGAGGGTAGAGGGAATGTACCAGGTGGCTGCAGCCAAGCGCGGCTACAAAACAGCACAGGAAAGTGAGGTGTGAGCCCAGATTTGAGCGCGCAGGGCCTCTCTGATTCGCACAGCTTCTCTGCTCTCCACCCCACCCAAGCCCAGGACTAGTCAGAGTGGGACCATAAGTTAAGGTCAGGGTCTTGGTGAGGATGTCCTGGTGGGCGTCCCCCACAGTCCGAGCCCCAGACTCCGTTGAACCTTGAGCATCTGCAGGTTTGCTCACCTCTCCCATGCACAGCTAATACCTCCACCCCCAAGCTGAAAGCACTGCTCACCAGAGGCGACATTTGTCCCCCGGGACCCGCCACCTCCGCTCCTAGCATGAAGCTGACGACTGGGTCAGGCCGCAGCTTACCCCAGCAGGGAGGAACTGGGCCTGACAGGCTGCTCAGGAGTGGGGAGCATGAGCTCAGGTAGGAAGAGGACTCTCCACACAC